AGGTCCACTGTAGATACTCACTGAACTGTACAATCGCCCCTTGTCGCTCATGGCCAGATATCGCTCGGCTTCTGTTCCCTGGATGACCACTACGCCTCTGCCCACAGCTTTGAGCTTTAAAACAGCTTAAATGAGGGAAAAGTTTAAAAACAACACGTCAGCAGCTGACACCTTTAAAGACATGGGTCACCTTCTTCTCAGGTAAGAGAAAAACGGCAACGACAAATCTGAGATTTCTGTGTCACTTCAAACACTGTTGCTGTTTGCCCTCAGCTTCAGTTGCCTGACAGATGGATGGAGAGAAGAACAAATGTAAATATATTTGCCCTTCAGTTGAATGACAGCTAGTCAAGAGTCTTGTGAAACAGAAAGAATAACCTGTCAGTCTTTCCTGCATCTGAGAGGGATGTACTCGCGTATTAGACAGAGAATTTAAATGAATTGTTACTACAACAGTACTTGACAAGTAACAATAGTTTTGATTGGTCTGAGACTTCTATAGAGGGTGGGGCACAGCCTACATGAAGTACATAAGAGAGATTCTGCGGAAAGTAAGCTTGACAGTAAATTTATATCATTAATGATAAAGCAATTATAAGTAACCCTACCCAAAATGTAACTGCACTTTTGCACTGCATTTAAAATGAACTTTAAACAAAGTCAAATAGTCCTGTGCAATGCTGGGGTGCCCCATATTTTCCCTTTTAAAATGTCAGTGAATGGCTGCCACATTTCCCCATGGAGGGAACTTAATGGTCTGTTTCCCTTCTCTTTGAACCTGACACGCCTGCAGTAAAAGGAAGTGAACGCATCATGCTATAGGCCTGACCTGGATGTAAAATGGGCGGTGTGCTGGAGTCTTACTGTGAACGTCCCCGTCATCCCTCTGGCCCTGCACTGTCCCATCGGGGAGGATCTGGAGGTGATGTCCGCCATTCATGCAGTAAAGCCGAGTAGGCCGCCTGTAGTCCTGCAGCAGGCCGCTGTCTCCCACAGTCTGATCCTCTGATACAAACGACTCTTCGTCCGTCATCCTGCTAGCAAGAAACAGCTGCGTGATCAACAGGAGGGGTTTGCAGAGGAGCCTATGAAAAATAAACAGCGGGGTCTGACTCCTGCTGTCAGGTGTTTACATGCTCGTGAGCGCGCGGAGAGATCACACTGGCACCTGAATGCGCGTCCTGGGCTCAAGCTTCAACTGGGATATTTGTATGGAGTGTGATCACTGACAAATCTAGACCCCAAATCTAACTTGTTTTTTTTTTTAATGTAGTAATCAAAGACAAGGGGGTTGGCGTATCGGGCTCATGCTCTGAATGTTTTCTCAGAAGTTGCAAATCTTTTAGGTTTTTAAAATAAACCCTAACTTCGCTTTGGCTGGACCGGCAAATGTCTGTTTCATTCACTTGTGTCACTGTCACTTGTGTTCTTCTGGAGGAGTAAACCTCAGGCGCCAAGTAAATGTTTTTCTGTTGTTAATATTCAGTTCAGAGTATTGAAGACCACATTTACCTGGCACTGGTGGAGCAGCCCAACTTATTATGGCATGGATTCATAAACATTCATTCTGTGAACTCTACTCCAGCACAGTAAAATAAAAAACTGGTTTTAAGATTAGTAATGCTGTTTACACCAAATTCATGCCCTACCTATGTTATACAACTTTTAAAAAAATCAGACCATGTTTGCCTCTTTTTCAGTGGCAGGAGTGAAAATGAGTGATCCTGAACATTTGTTGTGTTGTTATGGTTCCTCAAATATTACTCTACAGGATGATTTCTTTTCCTGGGCAACTATCATGCAAATGAGCACAGATTTTTAGGCGTTCTATCATCTCAAACAGTTTGAAAAAAAAAAAAATATATATATATATATATATATACATATATATATATATACTATAGCTGCCTTAAATGGGGGGGAATCTCCTCAGGGAAGCATACCCTGGACCCCTTAGTTTTGTGCTAAGCCCCGAAAGTCTGCCTCCGCCCTGGTAGTAATATTGTGTTTTTACTACTATACTATTATTTTGTCTTTTCTTTTTCTTTTGTTTATTCATTTGAAAATAATTATCAAATTCATCACAAGGAAAAGCAACACTAGAGGCAAAAAGGAGGAGAACATTGCAGGCCTGTATGGTCATGAATTATTATTACAGTTTTATCAGTTTATTTCTTTTTTCTAAATAAGGGAATGTCCATGATCCTGGATAAATAATTAAGTCAGAGCTGATGTCTCAAGTAGTGAAAGAACTGGAGATGGGATGCAAACACTGTATGATGGTGTTGACCCTGATGTTCACGTCTATGAGTTTTTGAAATGTAATTTTGGGATGCTTTGAGCACAAGAAAACTAACTTCCCTTCACCTCAGACAGAGCATGATAAGGTG